GAGTTTTGTTATAGGACAAATTATGATGCCACGAAATATGTAATTGAATTATTTTGTTCCATATTCTTGATGATTTGCCTCAAACTTCTTGATGTGGTCCCCCACGGCTGCTTTAACCAGATGTTGTCCATAGATGCCATGGTTTGCTAATTGGCAAATGACTACTGTATATATGCACTATATTTTTGACACAGAGATGCTCTAAGCTACATAGCAAGTATAATATTAGGTAAATATCAGTATGTAGCAAATAATCAGACCATCTCATTCAAAATGTGAGGCCAACATCTTAAACTTTGTCATTGAATATGAATAAACAAACCTTAATAGATGCCTTTGCTGCAGCTGAAAATGCAAGCAGCAATACTGGTATGGCCATCTAAAAGTTATGTTACTTTTGGAGGAAATACATGGTTTTGTGGAGCATATCCATTATTGCCCTTGCCAGAGGTTAATCATGACAATCAGAATGGGTTGTTCAGAGTGACTTGAAGTGTTTTTATTTGTGCGTTGTCCACTTTGTCTGGTGTCAACAAGCTGACACCAATGCACCGAATGAAAATGCAAGATGAAATCAGCCAAAAATGAGCTTTATCATGTTTTTATCACAAATGCTTCTGTTAACAGATAGGTGAGGTGAGTTGAGATTTTAAATGCAAAGCTCATTGCAGTCTTGCATGATTTTGGTCATCATATCCTTCAAAAGGTCAAACATTGCCACTGACCTTAAATGGACATGTGACTGTTTGCTTAGAAACGGCTATCTAGGTTCTGGGGGACTTTGGAGACCAGCCTGGAGTTTGACCTTGTTTGATCTTATTTGGCCCGAAGGTCTTAATCTAGAAATCTTAAGCTTTGACCTAAGTTAGTTCACGTGCAGGGCAACACACACTGTGAGTTTAGTATCTCTAGCTTTCTTAGTTCCCGAGATCTCAGCGGGGCCAAATTGACCCCCACCCGAGCAAAGGGTATCCAGCCGGCCGCCCGGGCGCACGTTAAAGACGGGTAATGACATCACAATAATATGAGGAGCACTATGAATTGTTTGACCAAGAAAGGCAGAACAAACTGCGTTGAATCCGTGTGCATGCTTCTTATGGCATTTGTAACTGAGCTCCTGTCCCAAAAATTACTAATTGCATGCTTCTTTTGTACAAGGCATGGGCCAAGGTGAGCAGGTGCGTACATACAGATAAACTGGCGCAACTACGCTTCAAAAGAGTCACGGGGCAGCTATGTGTTGGAAAGGACACACTGAAGCCTGAAAGCTACCTTAATCATTCAAACCGGAGTTCCGCCAAAATGCCGTCCCTAAGTAAAGATGTAGCAGCGTCGCAAAAAGGAAGGGTCTTTTCACAGTAACAACGCACTTAATGTTTTAAGAGTTTTCGTCTGCTATCTGAGCGACCAGCTTACTAACCTGGAGGGTTCCTGTCCCAAAAGGGGCGTGACAAGATATCTACGCATCCTTAGACACCTAATCTTGATTGCAAAAATCCTCTGCAATCTGCTCCTTTCATAGGCGTTACCACAGATGAAGTGAAAGGGCAAGTGACCCCTCCCCAACTGGGGAACGAAATTGTTTAGGTCGCGGTACTTTCAAAATACGGGGTAAATGGAAAAGCGTATCATTTCTCGGCTATAAACGCTGTTTACCCAGACTTATATTCATGCCTCTCAGCTTGACACCTTGATTTTATCATCCCCTCTCCGACAACTGGCATTTTAACGTTCACCACTTGTTGGTGCTTGGTAATAATGACCTCAAAAGCGACGAAATATGTTTTCAACCCAGAGTCCGATGCACTTGCTGAATGCTATGTAAGGCGGAGCTTACATTTTACTAGAACCGCGTATATATCTTGTTTTGTGTTGTAGATATCGTCTCTATTGCATTCTCCCCTTCCTCTTTTTGTCATTGCTGTCTATTTTGCACAGCAGCCGGGTCGCGATATGCAGGACGGAAAAACAGCGACAGGTTCAGCGGGCCGGGCAAGGCCTCGGAGCGCACAGGTCGCGCCGGAAGGGCAGCTGCTGATCAGCCGGCCGAGCAAGGCCTCTGAGCGCACAGGCCGCGCTGGAAGGGCAGCTGCGGGTCAGCCGGCCGGACAAGGCCTCTGAGCGCACAGGCCGCGCCGTCAGGGCAGCTACAGGTCCTGTCAACAGCAATATCATCAGTGCGAGACGCCCCGGCCGAGACGGAGGACGTGGTCCGGGATAACTGCTCCACGCCCCAAGTGTTAAAAGCATGTCCGGAGCAGTAGGCCGCCGGGGAGCGGGACATCCGGCGGAGTCGCGTCCCAGCCGCTGGCGTGGTCGCCGCGCCGGGGCAGCAGTCCGTCAGCGGATGATCAAGCAAGACCCGAGCAGAGCCGAGCAGCAGACCAGAGCCAAGCTAACTGATACAACCAGGAGCCACGGGGGAGATCGGAGTTCGAGCCCGAGCTCGAGACCGAGCCCCGGCCGATCGGTACGCAGCACAACGCCACCACAGATTACAGAAGCCTAAGAAAGCATCTCAGAGATGTTTGGCTTCGTCTAACACTTCGTTGTTGCATCAGATCGAACGATTCCCTAGAAATCGACTTTGCTGAAGCAATGGCCTGAATTTCAACTGCCATAGGTCAGAGGCCTTACAAGGTACATCTAAATTTTTGACACCGATCACCAAGCGATTTGACACCAAGCGATCCACTGTTCAATCGTCTGCATATATGCAAAATTGGGCGCGGCTACGCCGCGCTGTTCGGAAACCACTCTGGAAAAACCTTGGGGGGTCAATTTGGCCACCATCCGAGCGCGTGTTAACCTCCCACCCCGGTAGTATTGGAGGGGGCAGATCCAGCTTTGGAGCGGCCAAGTTAAACATGGAGTCGGGTAGTGGACTGCCCGAAACAATGCAAATCGACACCCGTACTCCGTATCGTCTTCCTGGCTCCATGTTACGTGAAACAACGCCACGTTATATTCCCGCGTGTCATAAGTATACGTTTTTCAACATGCAAGCATGCGGCATACGAATGCTACGGACGGTGGAAGCCTACGGATTAGGGCCAAGGTGAACCATAATTATTTACCTCCATGAAGGGCTTAAGTCTCGTCGAATCGCATGTTTTGCAATCGCAGCACGGAAAGATGGCTTTTAAATGTGTTAGCGAATGTTATCTTGACTGCGTCAGCACTTAAGTACGTTCCTAAAACGAAGCACTCTCCCCTCCCAGACATTTGATCTAAAAGCCGGATGTGCAGTCAAACACATACCTACGCGTATTTTAAGCAAACTTTGAACGTTGGAAGGACTTGTTTCAGCACGCGATGCACGAATGTGTGATCAAATATCAAAAATAAAACAACGTTGCGTATCTGCTGCCAAACCCACCTCAACGCGATAAGGAACATTGGGCACACATTCACGCCTAAAAGTTCTTGTATTCACAACAGAGCTCACAAAAAGGTACGCATAAAGAAAAGCTGGGAAGAACATATGCTACCAACGGGGCACATTTCCGGGGGACGGATGTAAACAGGTGGCTCTCATCACGTCGCCTGCCGATGCTTAATTACTCTCAGAGTCGCAGCACCTCCCCAAGCACGTCTTCACCACTCATTAAGCAGCAGTTTTTACAATCTTCTTTTTCTCCTATGCATGCCATACCACCAATGGACCATTGCACACATATGCACACACTGAGAACGTACATATATTTCCGGGGGAAATCGCTTACGTTGAGTTACAGAGCGTGTCCCATAACCCTCAACGTTGGGCGACGCCCACGCACGCACAGCTTCCGCACACACAATCAATCTACCACACACCCCAGGCAACGCTGTCTGACCAGCAACATGCGAACCGAGATGGCCGCATACAGCGCACATAAACCAGTCGACCCGTACGCACGCGTCAGCCACGCACTGCCGAACGCAATCGGCGAGGTGTGTTCGGAGCCGAGCTGAGGTGGACAGGGCCCGCGCCGGCTGGCTCTCACCCGAGGTCTGTCCGCTCTCGGCCGTACCCTGGCCGGGAGCGCAGCCGAGCTGAGGTGGACAGGGCTCGCGCCGGCTGGCTCTCACCCGGGGTCTGTCCGCTCTCGGCCGTACCCTGGCCGGGAGTGCGGGCGAGACCACGCACTGTTTGGCACTTCGCAACGTAGTGGGCATGTGACGTCTTGCATTCACTAGACGAACGTCGATCAGTGCAAGATAGATCAAAGCACACCCTTTGCGCACCAGAAAGGACTGTTTTGGTGGCACTCTGCGTCGTCGTACGCGCACCTTGCGCCGTCCATCAAAAGTGAAAAATTGAAGTTCGTAATGACAAGCGATTCCACAACAAAAAATATCTCAGCAAATTAGCATAAATGAAGCAGCAAGTGCCTGAATCAAAATAGACCTTTCCGCTGGCGAGCATTCCATTGAAACACGTTACGCACATAGGACTGGAAGTTCAAAGGTATCATGATTACAATACAGCGAAACAATGCACCAACTCCAGTTAATATCGTATATAAGACGAACACAGCAGTCATGACATTACTTGAAGACATCAACCATAATGGGGACGTTGGCTCGCCAGTCATGTTGTTTGCAGGATACCACAAATATTGTAAATAAGCATTTATAACAAACACCGCGCCGGTAGCCACAAATAGCTCATCTTCGCCAAGCACTATAATTTTGATTTTTCAGCTGTCGTCAAGACGGCTGCCATTGGGATATTGAAGGCGTACTTACTAATTCAGTGTTGTAGAGTACACAAACGCTGTGATTGTTTTTCAGCCCTGATCACACCCGCCATGTCTAACGTGGCATCCGCTTAAATGTCTGCCGAGGGGATGAGAACAACACGCTCGGTGTCGAAACGGCTCAGCTTCTGCCGAAAAGCCCGTGTCGAGCAGAGGGCCTCGACACGGGGGGGGGGGGGGGGTGGGCTCGCGGGGCCTACACCACCACGCCATGCACGCCGTTCAGTTTGGCCTCGACACGGAGGGGGGGGGGGGGGGCTCGCGGGCCTACACCATCACGCCGTGCACGCCGTTCAGTTTGGCCTCGACCGGAGTCCGCACCACGCTGAGTGCTCGCGACTGACGACTGAAAACGACGTCTCCCACCTCCGCCGTCGGCAGCCAGGCCTCCACTACTTGGTACAGGCACAGGAACTCGCGCTGGAAACATGGACGGGCGGCCAGTGAACACAGTTGCTCCGGAGCAAGACGTGCCGCGCTGGAAAAATGGACAGGCGGCCAGTGAACACAGTCGCTCCGGAGCAAGACGTGTTGCGTGAAGGTTTCTGACTGTCGATATCAACAGCGGGGTGTTATTTTTAACAGGGAATTGTGCCGAAACAGAACACTAGATACTTTTGACATTGAATAGTTATGTGGCACTGCGGTAGCTTAAGACTTTTATAAGGACTCCGAATAATTCGTTGAATTATGCTCAACTGGAGGTCCCACGGTTTTGGGGTTTGTGGTGTACCTTAGCCTGTGACCGTCTGCTGGGTTAAAAGGGACCGCCGCGTTGTACGTTGCGCAATGACTTTCAAACCATTCCAGGAAGAACCGCATAACAGTCAGCATCTGTCGTGTGATCCAACTGACATATGTTCAGTTGTTTCAATGTCGTTCAATGCTAACCTTTTGCAATTTCAAATTAGCAAACAGTATTCGCTTTCTCTCCTCGTGCACTAATTCGCAGCTTTGTCCCCGCATGCAGTAATTCGCAGTTTTGTCTCCGCATGCAGTTATTCGCAGTTTCACTTTCCTTTTTGGATTGTGTTTCATAATTCACTGACTGATCTGAATATCAGTAAGGGTCAGGACAAGGCTGCACCAGGACCCAGCGCAGCTCATGTGACGCCAGCTTCAGAGTATTAAACGCGCAACTGCGATGAATATGTCGTTAAAGATGGCATGTTTCTAAAGCAGTAACTTGGATGGATCATCATCAATCATTGGCACGAAGTCATTTGACTCCATAAGCCAGACAGTCATTATTATGGATGCTAGAGAAATCTAGAAGTCCGGGAAAACTTGGGCGACTTGAAGATATTTGCAGATTTTTGGTAACTTGCGACTTTATCATTAACGCGACAGCGCCTGTCAGCGAAAGATGTGTGAGAGAGAGAGAGAGAGAGAGAGAGAGAGAGAGAGAGAGAGAGAGAGAGAGAGAGAGAGAGAGAGAGAGAGAGAGAGAGAGAGAGAGAGAGGGAGAGAGAGAGAGAGGGAGAGAGAGAGAGAGAGAGGGGGAGAGAGAGAGAGGGAGAGAGAGAGAGGAAGAGGGAGGAAGAGTGACCAGGGCATCAGCTGTCATCTAAATGTTTCCGTTGCAACGCATAGATCTCAAATGCTGTTAGGGAGAGGGGCATTGAACATGGCAGGCGGTCGCGGTTGGTGAAACATCCCGGCCGGTGCTGAGTTGACGGTACTGAGGTCGTCAAGGCTAGGTGGTACCCAACTCAACACCGGTTGCGGTACTTTGCCCCCGTGACTTGAGCATTTTGAATTTGTTGCTACGTCAAGGCTCAATTGTATAATGGTATAGATTTACGCCCAAATCCACAAATCCTGTCATCCTTATGCATAGAATATCAAGTGGACATCAGCCACGAGACCAATGCGTCTCAAATCATGTCAACTACCTTCCAAAATACTTCAACCCGTCTGGTGGCTTCGAACCGAAAACCTCCGTAAGAATTGTGTGGCTTTGAAAAGTGTGCCAATCAAAACAGTGCCTTAGCCCGCCTCAGATATACACCACGATGCGGATAGAGGCCAAAATCCATAACAACGAAACTTATCAAGTAAGTCAAGTATAGTGAAAGTGAACTTAGAGCAAGTCAAGTCAAGATCAAAATCGGTTCAGGCCAAGGTCGGATTGGCTCAATTTTTATCAGTTTTCTACTTTTTGAGTAACTCAACCTGTTGCAGTCTACAAGGCCGCTTAGTGACTGTCTAAATAATTTGTTGGTTCACTGCAGGGGCGTAGCCTGGACTTGACCTCCGCGGACCAACCGACGATTTTGGTGATCCGAAGTGGTGTTCTGCCTTACGAAATGTTTTAGGGCGCCAACTATTGAAGCATCGGGATCATGCTGATGACAGAGGGCTACAAAACATCTAAAGTTTCATGGCCACCGAGGGGCATAGAATGAGGACCAGCGCCTGGCCCTCTTTGTCTATCGATTATTCTAGTTTCCTGCCTGATTTGTTACAACAGGGCGGCAGAAATAATTGAGTTCGTCGTAAAAAGATATCCTAACACTACATTTTCGTTGGCCTTAAGTACTTTTGCATCGTTTTATTCATACTGATTGGCACGAAGTCAAGCCAAACGATGCATCACACAAACATAATTCAAACAAGCAGAGGAGCGGCGAGCCGTTACATTCAGAGGAGGAGCGGCGAGCCGCTACATTCAGATGAGGAGCGGCGAACCGCTACATCCAGAGGAGGAGCGGCGAGCCGCTACATTCAGAGGAGGAGCGGCGAACCGCTACATTCAGAGGAGGAGCGGCGAACCGTTACATTCAGAGGAGGAGCGGCGAGCCGCTACATTCAGAGGAGGAGCGGCGAACCGCTACATTCAGATGAGGAGCGGCGAACCGCTACATTCAGAGGAGGAGCGGCGAGCCGTTACATTCAGAGGAGGAGCGGCGAGCCGTTACATTCGGAGGAGGAGCGGCGAGCCGCTGCATTCAGAGGAGGAGCGGCGAACCGCTACATTCAGAGGAGGAGCGGCGAACCGCTACATTCAGAGGAGGAGCGGCGAGCCGCTACATTCAGAGGAGGAACGGCGAGCCGCTACATTCAGAGGAGGAGCGGCGAGCCGTTACATTCAGAGGAGGAGCGGCGAGCCGTTACATTCAGGGGAGGAGCGGCGAGCCGCTACATTCAGAGGAGGAGCAGCGAACCGCTACATTCAGAGGAGGAGCGGCGAGCCGTTACATTCAGAGGAGGAACGGCGAGCCGCTACATTCAGAGGAGGAGCGGCGAGCCGTTCCATTCAGAGGAGGAGCGGCGAGCCGTTACATTCAGAGGAGGAACGGCGAGCCGCTACATTCAGAGGAGGAACGGCGAGCCGCTACATTCAGAGGAGCGGCGAGCCGTTACATTCAGAGGAGGAGCGGCGAGCCGCTACATTCAGAGGAGGAGCGGCGAGCCGGTACATTCGGAGGAGGAGCTAACCGCGCAGACCCTGAGTGAGGGCGTGAAGTAAGATATAGCGAAGGCGTGTAGCAAAAAAGTTTCCAGGCAGTAGTGTCATATGCTCTCCATAACTTCAGTGATCACAGCATGGCTTCGTGACCCGACGGAGCACTTAATGTAACAAATTTGTTTCTTGACATGTACTGAAAAATGAATGTGTTTATCTGAAATAGCTGAGAATTCGTTCGAGAAACACATTTCACAAGACTAATGCAATGAAATGCCGCTTACAGAACTATGGTAGACGGGGCTCTCGCAAAACGGGCACGTCATGAAAACCAGAGGATCGCATTGAAAGGTGCTGACTTTACAAACAGATGCTGCTGTTGACGTATTATTCAGCTAACCGCAATTCACAGTTGTGTACTATTCAAGCACTACAGACGTACCACACACACAATGGCATTTTACGTAATAAGCATGCTGGTCCCATGGTGCTATTTTTCTTGAAACGGTCCACTCTGCGGTAGCATGGCGTTAGGTTACGTGACTACTTTAATGCTTCATCCCGCATGGGAAGGAAGTGCATTACCGCAGGCCCCGGAGCCGCTCAAGCGAGCAGCTTCCTGACACTAACTGCCGCCTGAAGACTTCAACCTTGGTGCCCTCTCTCCTTTTCCCGGCCCTTATCTCTCTTCCTCCTTCTTTTCCGCCCTCATTTCATTCCCTACATTCAGTATTCCTCCGTCTCCTCGAGCCCCTCCTCTTCCCCTCTCCCCTCCCTCATTCCCAACCTCCAATATTCTTCCGTCTTCTCCCCCTCTACCTCCATCTCTTCAGTCGCACCCTACTGCTTCACATATCACACGGGAGCAGCGAATACCTGGCCCAGTCTACGCTGGTCGAAACCACAGCCTTCCAAAAGTTGCATCCCCACCCGAGCTTACCATCGTTTTCCAGATGCCCGGTCGCCGCTGGTGGTAGAGCTTGGCGTAGGTAAAGACGTCGAAATACGGCTGGAACTGTAGTTGGCGGAGAACAGTGCTAAGGACACAGAAAGTGGCGCCCTCGGTGCCACCGTTCCTGTCGGTTGAAGTGTTCGTTACGTCATGTCTCAGCCAGCTCCCACGATCTGCATACGCCAGGTCCACAACACACCTAGGCCACAACCGCCGTATCAGAACATGTCTCAGTGAATAAGGACAGATGACCAGATTTATGAGCGTGACACAAGAGTGAATAGTCCATCATTGACTGAAACCACACAACAGACATGGAAGCTGGCACATGAAAATTGGGGTAATACGGCATGGACTGTTAGGTAGGAGCGCCAAATTGTCATCAATGACTGTTACACACAACTGCCACTTGCCATTGCACAAGACCACTGCCTGTTGCTAATACCAGGTATAGCCTCTCAAAAACTAATGCCTTCTGCCAATAACGACTACCACCTGTCAACAACGCCTGCCATCTGTCAGCAACTGCTGAAACATGTCGACAACGATAGTCACCTGTCAACTACGACAAGTGGCGAGGTGCGGTCTCCGTGGATCTCGTTGACGCCCAGCACGCCCTCCATGACGGAGTCGGTGGAGCTCTCCTCTGGCCACAGCGGCAGATACACCAGTCGCACCAGCAGGTCCACGTCACCCTGGAACGGATGACGTTAGCGGCACCGTCACCGGATCATGTCACAGGCTGCAGGCACCATCAGAGGGTCACGTCACAGGCGGCAGGCACCGTCAGAGAGCCACGTCACAGGCGGCAGGCACCGTCAGAGGGTCACGTCATAGGTGGCGGCACCGTCAGAGGGTCATGTCACAGGCTGCAGGCACCGTCAGGGGGTCGTCATAGGTGGCGGCACCGTCAGAGGGTCATGTCACAGGCTGCAGGCACCGTCAGGGGGTCGTCATAGGTGGCGGCACCGTCACTGCCAACATGTCACGTCGTTACCACCAGGTTGTGTCGCCATCAGCAGGTGACACCACTGTCAGCAGGTCACGTCTGTGTTAACAGGTCAGTCGCGGTCAGTAGGTCATGTCGCTGTCAACAGGTCACGCCGTTTCCGGCAGGTGAAGTTACTGTCGGTCGGCTACGAAAGCGACGTGGCACTGGTCCGTCGATAACAAGTCAAGGTCATGACCAAGGTGACGAGACCAATGACTGGATGGGGTCAGACCTTTATGCCCATGTTCTATGTCCATGTCTGCACGGCAATGCATCTAAAATCTACGAGGCAATATACCACAGCCCTGAGGTAACATGGTCGGATGTGGTAAGAGGGGTGATGAGTGGTGAATGCTCAACGTTGATTCCGCATATAATTCCGACATAAAATTCCTGTGATGCGTGGTACGCATGCACCACGTCATGGTGCATACCTTATACGGAGTGCAGTGTAATTCGGCTCACTGCGCTAGCGCGTCTCACCTCTGTGGACTCCATCAGGACGCGTCTCACCTTTGTGGTCTCCATCGGAACTCGTCTCACCTCTGTGGACTTCATCAGGACGCGCATCACCTCTGTGGACTCCATCAGGACGCGTCTCACCTCTATGGACTCCATCAGGACGCGTCTCACCTCTATGGACTCCATCAAGACGCGTCTCACCTCTGTGGACTCCATCAGGACGCGTCTCACCTCTGTGGACTCCATCAGGACGCGTATCACCTCTGTAGACTCCATCAGGACGCGTCCCACCTCTGTGGACTCCATTAGGACACGTCTCGCCTTCGTGGATTCCATCATGACTCGTCTCACCTCTGTGGACTCTATCAGGACGCGTATCACCTCTGTGAACTCCATCAGGACGCGTCCCACCTCTGTGGACTCCATTAGGACACGTCTCGCCTTCGCGGATTCCATCAGGACGCGTCTCACCTCTGTGGACTCCATCAGGACGCGTCTCACCTCTGTGGACTCCATTAGGACACGTCTTGCCTTCGCGGATTCCATCAGGACGCGTCTCACCTTTGTAGACTGCAGTAGGAGGAGTTTCCCCTTTGTGTGTGAACTCTATCAGGACGCAGCTTACCTCTGTAGACTGCATCAGGACGCGCCCCGCCTCTGTAGACTGCATCAGAACACGTCTCAACTCTGTAGACTGCATCAGAACACGTCTCAACCCTGTAGACTGCATCAGGACACGTCTCAACTCTGTAGACTGCATCAGGACGTGTTTCATCTTTGTAAACTCCATCAGGACGCGTCTCACCTCCGTGGACTCCCCTAATAGGACGTGTCTCACCTCTGTAGACTCCATCAGGAACGTGGCGACAATCCAGGACGTCTTGTAGGAGCCGCTGCAACCAGCGGTCTCCGACATGTAGCGCACTACGAAGCCCTCGCAGTCGATCTCCTCCTCCTCCAGCGCCCAGAAGATGCCCAAGTCCTGTAACGCCGCATCCGGGACGGCAGATGAGCAAAAACGCCGCTCCGCGCGGCCGAACCGGAAGCCGAGCCCGCGGCGGCGAGGGGCCGGGAGCGGCTCGGTCGGGACCACGTGGGCCGGGAGCCGGCGGCGGCGCCGAGCGAGCCGCCGCAGAATTTATAGGGCAGCATCTATCACTATATTGATCACGGACGCGGAAACGGCCCGTTATCTAGAGCACCCCACAACCGAACCGTGATATCAATCTCACCGGCGGCGATAAATCTGAGGCAAGCTCGAACAACAAGAAAATGGTTAGGCGCTTCAGTGCTACTTTATGTAATTCAAGAACGCTGTGATGTGGGACGTCCCTTGGACCATTCGGCCACTTCTCGGGCATGCTTACGCACTATAAGTTAGGTGCGGGCCTTCCTGGCACGTGCTCATTTATGGCCACCTCTGAAGAAAATAAATGCAGGACGGTGTGATCGCTGCGGCCCGCACAGTACTTTGTCCATCTATTCAACGTCGAGGCGTTACGCGGGACATCAACAGGCAACACATTAACGCATAACGTTCGCTGAAGGTCAGCGACATGGGCACGCATTGAAAGGAGATTCCTCGCAGCTTTTCTCAATACCAAGCGCGGCTTAAGTGACTCGGGCGCAGCGAACATGGCCGTGGCAGGGGCTCGCAATATGTCTTGCGGTTACGTTCACACGTCGCACATCCTCCGCAGACCATATGTCACTCGCCGTTATTTGTCTTGGAAAACAGCGAGGCACTAAAGGCAAACTGAGCGTCGCGTCTCGAAGCTGACTAATGGACCGCGTCACTCTCAGGGAGGCAAGCACGGGGAGAATAGGATTACTCCAGGCGGGACACAAAGCCATAAAGAGGCCGCGGATGCGCCCGAACTTCTCCAGGGTTAGGGAAAGGGCTAAGACGCATTTTGATTCGTTCTTTCCCATTCCCAAAAAGGAGTCAAAAAAGGAGTCAGAGTTAAGTTCTTCCAAATGTTGAGCGCTTGAGCCTCAAAGTCAGGTAAGGATAAGCAAGATGTCGTCCATAAATTATGTTACGCAAATCCCCTCTCCCCCAGGTTACGCCCTTGTCACGCTGGGGGAGAACCCCTTTCCACTGGTTGCTTTGCCACCATTTTCGGGGAAAATTTCAGCGTGATTTAAAGCCACACCGAAACACAAAACTACGCTGCCACATTACCTCCAACCTTACTGCGCCGCTGTTGCGCCGCATCCCCCTTCATTTCCCATGCGCAACGTAATAATGAACATCATTTATGAAACCACAGGCCCCGAGGCCTGTGATTGTGGCATGTCCTACCTGTATGCACAGTGCATTTTGAGAAATAAGCCCTAGCTCATCTGTGTTGCGTTGATGGCACATTTCTTCCGTGGGACTCCTAACAAGCTGATCCAGCGCTCACTGATAGCTTAAAAGAAGTTGTCATTCCTCAATGTATGATTATGGTCAATCCAAGCCCGCAACATACCACATCATTTATATGAGCCCGTGTCACTGCATCTTTGAAAACAACTCTTTGCCCACGTGTGCTATGTCACCAAATTTCCTCAAACTTTATGAAATCCATTTGAGGCTTATGTGAAAATTGATTAAGCAGGCGGACATGTGCGTCCTGTGCGCTACCCTCAACTACGCTCCAGGGCACAAGAGTGCCGGCTCACGCTTCTAGCCGATAGAAATTAGCGACGGATCACCCAGCAACGCTCGCACCATTAACGCTAGCTTGGGTTGGGAGGGGGGCAATTTGACCTTCACAGTTTTTTCTGGAATGAGTTTCGAAAGGCGTGGCGCAGCCGCGTCAAATTTTGCGTGCTATAGCAGATTTAATAGCGGATCGTTCGGTATAAAAAATTTAGATGTGCTATGTTAGATCGCTGACCTACGGCAGGTCAAATTCAAGCCACGGATTCAGCGAACCTAATTTCTGGAGAATCGTTCAATCTGGTGCAACAACGGAATATTAAACGGAGTCATACATGTATGAAATAGTGTCTTAAGCAACACAACAATTGAATGCACAAATTCCATCGATCTAGGGTCAGGCATGAAAGTCATACCGAGGTCAAACTAACCTACCTTATTGCTTCAGGGTTTGCTGTATGGAATAGATTGTGGTGCTTATTTCAAATATGTTGATAACAGGAACCGTATTATGCATTTTCCATGGACTTCTTACAGGTTAAAATAGATCACTGACCTTATATGACCCAGGCCAGCGTTTCGTTTTTAGGATAAACTGGCCAGAGCAATTTTTGACGCTTATTCAAATGCCTACATCAAAGCAGTGTCCTATGACTTCCGTCACCATGACCTCCAAAAGGTCAAGCAAGGTCACTGAACTTGACTGAGCATCATTAACCTTTTGCTTAGAACGGATATATGGGTTCTGGGGGCACTTTGGACACCAACTTGGAGCTTGACCTTATTTGACCTTTTTTGACCTGGGGGTCATTACCTGAAACCTGTAGTTTTGACACAAGTGAGTTCACGTACAGGCCAACACAGCCTGTGATTGCGGTGTCTCTAGCTCTCGTACATTTCCGAATTATTAGGAGGGGATCAAACCGATCCCCCCACCCGAACCGAGAGTATTCAACCGGCCACCCCAGCGCGTGTCAAACAACTGTTAAAGATGCTAGTTTAGCGCTTTTGAATCCTATGGAAAGCGTGAACAGAGCAACACATAAAGCCATGTTTTGCACTTGTTCTCTTCCACGCGGTTTGAGGATTGAAGGTCATCGTTCAGACGATCATCAAGGGTCATCATGCAGAGACAATCCCAAAAAGAAACAGGAAGCATGATTTGACCATATTTCACTACTCATCACAGTAAGACTGATCCTTACGATGCTCTCAGCTGGAAGGCAGCTGATCTCCACCCACTCCCTGGGTCCCGCCCCATGTCACTAGCCAAAGTCTCCGACTCAAACCCACACCCAGCAGCTCTTACCTCTGGGCAAGGTCTAAAGTGACGTCAGCTTCTACCAGTTCGTACCTCTGATGTCAGTTCCTGCCAGCTCCTACCTCTGACGTCAGCTCCTGCCAGTCCCTACCTCTGACGTCAAACAGGCGACCGTGGTGACGCGATGGTCCCAGATCATCTGCCAGAAGTCCAGCACCGTGTTCGGCAGAGGGTGCTGCGTCAGGATGAACTCCTGAAGGTGTCGATACCCTGCCAACCGGAAGACAGGCGCATCGTGAGAGGGCAAACTGCGCATCGTTGGGCGCTTACAGGCACGAGCCTGCTCCTCACCAGCCGGGTCATGTTCCAACCACTCCCGTCAACACCTACTCGGTGAAATACCCATCGCGTCACCAGCCGCCTCCGGACGTCCCACCGGACGCCGTAAGCACGGCCTCTGTGATCGTCTCAACGGAGCATAAATTCAGTACACAAATCCCCGAACAGAATTCGTGGCGATTCGGCGGACGGGACTGCCTCGCCGCCGCCGCCGCCAGTCAATAGGCCCGCGGCGCCGCGCGCGTGGCGGAGACAACCCCAGTCTCGCCACAGGGGCTCAGCTGCCAGCCTATACACTAATGGGATCAATGCTGCGTCCTGATTGAATGACGGCAGACTGAAAGCGCTTCAGAGGGCCGCCGAGCTAGAAAACACTGCGCCGATGTTTGGAAAATGGTCAGCACGTCGTGTTCCGCGGGTCTCCGTCCGTGTCTTCATTTCGAAACAGAAATGAGGTACGTAGCAAACATGAAAGCAGGCGCAGCAGCGAGAGCAACATTTTTATAGGCGGGGAATATTCAGCTAACAAATTTACATTATTGCCCACAGCCCGATGGCAATTAAATTGTGTTGACAATTAGTAGCGCAACAAGCTCAGTGCTTCCCAGCGTTGCGGATCATTTCGCGAACACCGACAGACCATGTGAGCCGTGTCTCATATTATGCTTGTTTTAGCATAAGACATCAAGTTTTCTGCAGCGTCGCCATTAATTTTAATGGGAAATGGTATGGCTTCACAAACTTTTGACGCGTGATTGTGCAGTGTGCACACCTGATATACTTCTGCAGCTCACGTGCCTCTCCCCACACACATTAACGTGAGAGTTGCGTTTGTTTTGGAGCCCGATGCATGTAAAACCAAACCAAACTTATTGGATGTCAGCGAGACGTGTTTAGAGACCCCATTTGCCAAGCCAGCATAGCAGAGGAAGGCTTAGACAAAAAGATTCAACTATGTTTTCTGCTGTCATCCCTGTTTTACATAGATATAACAGTGGGTAGGTGTTACTTTCGAAAAGCTAGAATCCGCAAAGGGAAGTGGTGGAATGCCAGTATTCATTCTCAAAAATGTTGCCGGAACCCCCAGTTAGCGATCGCCACCAATATCATTTGGTCACCTGGCAGCCAGGAGGCGTTGATGTAATCGCTTCCGTCCTGGCTGAGCTTGGGCGTCAGCTGGACACGTGACGGCTCCATAGGGATGAAGCTGAGACTGCGGTTCTTGGCCTGGTTGCAGGGCCGGGCGGCTGACACCACGGTGAAGTCGCGCGGCTCCAGAGCGATCGCGTGCTGGAGGGGCAGGGGTACGCTGACACCCAGGATGGCGGCCGACCTCCCGTCACGACTCGCTCGATGAGGACAGCGCGGCGCGTGTCCCCGCTGCTTTTGACGGTATTGCGAGTGACATCCAAAGCTTTGACGACCGTCAATGGCGACGTCCCTTGATGAGCGTGAGCCACGGAATAAATCAATGGTCTGATGGAAATGTGCTGTTTTCTAGCTAGCGTTACGTGCCAGACGGTTACAGCACTTGCGCCTCCATTTACGGACGAGTTCAACGATTTGGCCCGAACCTACGCGAAGGCAGCAGACTCGCGACACGCTCGCCGCTCCGTGCTCGTGCAGCGTCCACCTCCCCAGTACAGAGAGTCAGCGCACCTTGTACTGTTTCTCGGCAGCCGGGTACGGGTAGCTATTCCTGCAGCCGCCCTGCAGCTCTTCCAGGAACTGGTGCACCCTGTCCCGGGGTACCAGTGTCTCCCCCGCCATCACCCGCTCCAGCAGGCAGTCGTGGAAGAAGATGTACTCTTCCAGCGTTGGCAGGAAATAGGGACACTGGTCTGCAAAACGACGGCCGTTTGGTCGCGGAGTCCGCACCCAGCCAGCGCTAAGCTTCATCGATATATTTGCGACCTGATTATTTGTGATATCGAGAGAACATTTTGCCTGTTATCTATCACTTTCAACTCTTTCGAACAGTCCACGTGTCGTTTGTTCCTTCTGCGATACCGAATCGACCAGCTGGAGTTCGCGTACCGCATGGAGTCCGACCAGTGGACTAGCATGCGGTATGACTACATTTTTTTCTGAGCTTTATCTGATCGAACCAAGACCATTGTATTTATAAGATATGTTCTGCTCTCAATTGCGACTTATTTGAAGGAACAATCACTGCACGAAGCCAAAGGATAGTAGGAACCACAACAGATTCCGTTTATGAGCATTCTTCTATTTCCCAAGAGTAATCACCACGCCTGCTTATTATGACAGAACGGCACGGCTACGTTCCCTGTACGTTGTCTGCCTGCTCTCATTGTGGGCAATCGTGCCCTCTGTCCACGCTGTCGGCGCGCCTCGGGGTCGAGCGTTGCGACTGCGATCGCGCACCTACCGAGCGCGTGCCGCCAGAAGGGGAGCACAGCCAGCTCCTGCCTTTGTCGGAGTTGCGCCTGCAGGCCCACCAGCGCCACATAAACGGCGGCGCTGCTCACCGTCGACCTGGCGGCGTGCGGGTCAGGCTGAGGTCACGCGGGTCAGGCTGAGGTCAGACGGCTCAGGCTGTCAGACAGGTTAGGCTGACCTCAGACAGGTCAGACTGAGGCTAGACGGGTCAAGCTGAGGTCAGACGGGTCAGGCGGAGGCCAGGTGGGTCAGGTGAAGGTCAGGTGGGTCAGGCTGAGGTTGGCGGGTCAGGCTGAGGTCGGACGCGGACAGGCGCAGGTCAGACGCTGACGAAAACTAGACAGACATTGATGAGCATGGTCCACACGATGATGAGCATGGGTCATACGTTGATGAGTACGGGTCACACGATGATGAGCACGGGCCACGTACTGATAAGCACGGTCCACACGATGGTGAGCACGCGTTACGTGCTGGCCAGCAAAGGATAGGCGTCTACGATAACAGGTCAGACGCTGACGACAATACACAACACGCTGACGAGTTCAGGTCAGGAGCTGACGAGAATGGATCAGAAGCTGCCAAACAGTGGTCGGGGGCGGACGAGAGCGTGTCCAGACGCTGAGGACAGCACATCAGACGCCGATGAAAGCGGGCCAGGCGCTGACCAGCTGGTCGCCGTAAGTCAGGCGAGCTTCTCTGGCAGATGTCATGTAATTATGAAGTGTGGGGTGATGCATATGGGTAGTTATGACGGTCAGGGCATTAGCTTTGAAATGGGAGGCCTTGAGTTGAACCAGATCGAGAAAGAAAAGGCTTTAGTGGTAGTAACTTCCAGGGACTTATAACCTGAAAAGCAAGGTGGGGTTGCTAGGAGCAAGGCACGTCGAATACTGGAACTTATTAACAGGAGCGTCCATTACAAGAGTAGGATTGTTGTCCAAAAAAATTGTGCTTAGCCTATGTCAGACCACACCTATCGTACTGTGTACAGGCTTGGTCCCCATGCTTTTAAAAACATATATATGGACATAAAAAATACATCATGATTACAGGTAAACAAAAGATATAGATATGTGTGTAGGCATAAATGGGATTGGCAACTTAGGATATAGGGATTGTCTTCAGGCCTTCGATTTGTATTCGCTGAAATGTCGTGGACTTGGAGGGTATCTAATCGTGGCATTCCAGATTATGTAAAGGATAGACAAGGTAGATCTACAAAAAGCGCTGGAAATTAGGCCGAGACTTAGAGGAAACCAGTTTCAATTACCAAAAGGTCGGAGTAGAACTATGAAGACACAGATGACATTTGTCAAAGAGTAGTGAATGGCTGGAATGAACTGCCAAACGACGTCGTAGGAAGTCCTTCTCTTGTAGCATTAAACATGGTTTGGACAAGTTCTTTCGGTCTAAGTATATCATTTACGGCTAAATTCAGACAGGTCAGGTGGTAAGGTTAGTGTCAAGGATGGGTGCGGAACCTGGAATAGGTCAACCTTGATGGGCCTTCGTGGCTCTTTGTTGATCTGATGTAGTTATGATTTATGTCCAAGTGCATAACTAAACAAAATAATGAACGTACTGGGACTTAAACATCCTCGCAATCAGAGCCGTAAACTCGGACTCAAGCTGGAACGAAAATGAATTCACGTTCAACACCGACCAAAGCTTACCTATATAAAGCTCGGCACTTGATCATATTGCCGGCACACAGTCATGGAGAGTTGTAAGATTCAAAATTGTCGCCAAGCCCCCATACACCACACGAATGGATCATGCTCGGAAAACTCCGGCTCAGCCATAAAGACTTGCAAGCCACGCGTGCGCTCTGAATGAAGACGGGCAATGCTTGGTATGGGGCATCCGTCCTAAAAAGTCGGCATAAAACATATTGGAGTGGACCTGGGAGGATTCCGGGTATTTGTATCTTCTAAGCTATAGAACAAGTTATCAGCACACCCAACATATGATGTGTTTGGTACCTTAATTGCGCGTGTTGTGCTTTTAAATTTCTTTGCGTTCAAGAATTTATTTGGGGTCAATTTGTGAATGGAGCGAAGCACCCATGATTCATACAGCTTGTTTGGACTCGATTTGTGTTAAGAAAGCAAGCTCAATGCAGCATGGCTCGGACTCCGAGTCGGATTTCAGTGATAAGAAATAGTGTCCTTTCAGGCTGGGACTCAGCCTGAATTACGAGTTGGGTTTCGTTGAAAACGGCGAAACAGAAACCGACAAACAAGAGCAAATACGCCATTCGCTGTTTTCATTTCAGGGCGTATGCTCGATTGCCAAGATGTTATGACTGAATCTAACTTATACAGGTATGATTCATGTGTCAGCTCTGTGGAGGTTTACGGTCTGAATATCTAATCGACTGCTCAGATTCCCTTGGAAACCTCCCACTAGTAGCAGTATGCTGAGTGGCTCAGAATTTGACGACTTGCTACTTATGGAATCAGTGACATTGGTGACAAACAGGATGATCATCCCAGCATTCATCACAATTCGTAATGTAACCATCCGCAATGCGGCCTGTTTGCCCAACTGCCACCCACATAGGTCACTCAATACCGTAGTCGCCACCGCTGTTGTAACATTCGTGTTTGGTAAAACCAATGGAAAATGAATCCCATTCACATTGGCCCTCCTCGTGGGGCGCAGTGAGGCCGTACTGCGGCGTGTCATTGCTGTTTCAGAGCACGGCCGCCGGACGGACCACCTGAGCCCGGCTTCGGCAGCGCTAACTAGACCGCGGCCGCCGATGCCTCCCCAGCGTGTGCTGCCTGATGGCGCGGCTTCGCTACGGCATGCCACGCGGGGAGGGAGGCTTCGAGCGGCCCGGAACGGACGGGCCATGGTACGCACCAGCACCAGCATCAGGAATAGGCGGCGACGGTGACCGAGAGGTGCGCCCAGCACGCCCGGCGCCGCACCCAGCATCGCGGACAGGGTGTGTCCGCGGCCAGGCGCTATGGACAAATCACACATCGGCGGCTGTCGGCAAGCGGCAGGCTCATCGCAGGCTGCTCCCCCTAATTGTGATGTGGCTATCTGCTGTCAGCAAAGTCGATATTCCATATGTGATGTGGTGCCCATGACAAGCCTGTTTTCGTGACGCTTGGAAAACAAACAGAATATGTGAGGACAGGAATCGGTTTGCATGAATTGTCCAGTGATGTACATCTTGAAAGATAATGTTTTAATCATATGGGAATGCGTAAGTGATATGCAAATACCCTGGCGCGCCGACGAGCAAAGGGAAATGCACTGGATGCGGAGAGATGCCGGGCTCCAATGGGTTCTTCATATTCGATGCATGAGGCAGTTTTGTGGGATCTCTGGGACCAGTATGTCTCATGTATATATTTCTATTGTGCTATATGCGGCGCATTCCATCGTTATGGCATTCATTTATGAATGCGTTATGAACTTTTTTAATTTTCGAGCTGAATTTAAACTAATTTTATGAAACCCGACAACTTTTAAATTACGAATCAGATGCTCTGAAAAATTGTTCGAGTTGAAGAGACTGCTTTAAATCACACCTTTATAAGAATTAAAATTAACATGCAATAGGATTTACAACAATTTTTAAAGATCAACCGCTCAAGTGAATCGTTTGAAACCTCTTTGTGGTTGAAAGCGTCATCTTTGTGACCCGTGCATGCCCTAAACGACCTTTAAGATGTAACGGAGGATGTAACGTCGAAAGTGTGTATTTAACATTTGAAACATTTCCCTAGTGTTGTTTAGAATTGACAGCCAATTCCCCACCGATCGCATTTCTCCCACACTCAGAGTGTGATATAATCTGTCGCCGGAACTCAGTCGATTACAGAGCGTCAGTAGTCTACCTTCAGTCTAATACAGTCGATTACAGAGCGTCGGTAGTCTACCTTTAGTCTCAGTCGATTGCCGAGCGTCGGTAGTCTACCTTTCGACCCAGACGTGGCGGAGCGGCGTAGTAAGAGTTCGAGTCGCTCTTCGCACTCTCTACTCGCATCTCACTGAGGTGGCCTGCGGCTGATGGCAGCAGCCGCTCAAGGTTAGAGGTCATAGGCCAGGGTGGACCGTGCCAGGCGTTGTAGCATGTCAAGGTTTTGCCACCAAATTCTGCCGTTGAACTGATATTTTGCTACCTGATGGTGGAACAGGATTTAGGCAAGTATTGCTTAACGGAAGCTCTTATCCCTCAAATCAAATGAATCAAAGGGTTTGTGCGAAACTGCTTTATAAATCGGTTTCACCCCATATGCATTAACTGAACCTAAATGGTGACTATCTTACCCAGCCATGACCAGCACAGGGTTCTTTGATTCCTCGGAGTGCTGGAGCGTTTGTTGGACAAAGTCCAGCAGCGGCAGTGGGGTGTCAGGAAGCCCATACTCTGGCCAGGCGGTGAACTGGAAGAGCTTGACATGAACTTCCTTCATTTTCTCCTTTTTCGACTGGCTCTGAAATAGAAGCTCAAACGGATTAACCAGCTTGCATTTTGACTCTGTCGCCGCATTCACTCTAGTTAAAGGCAGCTTCTCCCGCAGTATCTCCACTATATCCAGCAGCAAACAACACAGGCGAGGCCGTTTACAGCCGCCAGAGCCGCCAGGGAGTTGGGTGCTCTCAGCCCGATCCGTACAGCCCGACAAGCTCATTTGTGGACGGCGATTTATTACAGCAATTCAACCTAGGACGCTATCACATGCTCAACACTGGCGCAATCATAAACTCATTACTAAATAGCCCCGCAAACGAGCAACGTTGGCCAGGCAGCGAATCTCCACTGGCCCTGTTGCTGCCTGAGGCGGTGCACTGACAGGCGCTGAGTCACGGCCGGGCGCCGATGGGGGTCGCGGAGAACCGGCGCCGGGCCGGGCCGGCCGGCGATCTCGCAGCACCCGAAACCGCCGCCGAGACACCGCCAGCCCGGCCCCGGGCCAGCCGGCCCGCTCCGCCGAAATCGATGTCCGCTGATTCATCGAGCCATCCGCCCACCCTCCGCTGGCGACGGAGCGGAAGGGCTGGGGGGGGGGGGGATGCTGGGGCCGCCGACCGGCGCCCACCTTCAGTCGGGAGATGCCGAGGCGGCGGACGACGAGCGTGGCGAGGCTGTGCTGGGAGCGCGTCTCCAGCAGGAGTGGGCCGCACTGCCGGGCCGTACCGGGCTCGGGCCACAGCTGCTCCGCGTCACCCTGCGCACGGACGGGCGTCAGCCTGCTGGCACCGGCTGGCGACGCCAGGCCACAGCCGCCCGGCTGTCCCAGGCACAACGAACCGAACCACTCTGCACGTCCGCATTCAGGCCGCATTTTGCTGGTGAAAATAAGTGGTTCGGCTGCATGTCGACGACGCTGTTACACAGCCAGATGACGTTATCGGAGCATGATTTATGAAGCTCTGGGATCTACAAATCTAGCCACAAATCTCTGACAGCTTAAAAATGGCATGCAGATCGCTTTCCAACGGACCAATGCAGCAACTTCCACACATTCGGAGGCCCAAAAGCTCGATAGGACCCATTGCCACCATTGAATAGCGAGAAACAAGCAACAGCCGCGTGCACCCCTGACCGATCCGAAGCAGAATTCTCCTGTGCTCATCAACTGTCAGTTGCTGTCATATATGGCGGCGTGAGTGGCCTGTCCTCCGTTTCTAAAGGCAGCACGGTCCGCGGCCTCGTCTAGCTGTTACAGCTGAGCCGGAGCCCCAGTGCTCCAGCTGTTGACCGGCCGCGAGCCGCGCAAACTGGACGTAAACACGCCTTGAATAAATGTGTTGCGATTGCCGATGGAGCACCACGGATGTTTGTCACTTGAAAATAATCAGATATAGAGGAGCGCGGGTCAATGCCAACACGGCAACCATTTCCCATCGGTGCAGGGCCATACCAAACTATTCTGAGCTGTTAACATCAGAGAAAAGAGGAGAAATAAACTATTGTTTGCTTGGCCAACAGTTCTGGCCAGTGCCGCAGATTTTGAGTAGTAGTACAACGTATTTTGAGCGGCCTCTCAAAGCACTAAAAGTGGTCAGATAATGCCGTTCACAGAATCCACTTAAGTCTCAATATCCGTTTATTTTGTTGGAAATTCATCTAATTTAAGTTTTTCTTAACTTCATAATTAACGTGTGTAAGACACATGGTGAGGTGCACATGAGCTTACAAATGTCCGGCTAGTTTCTGCCGCAGTTTAGCCAATAGACTGTGGATATTTGACGTCAAATACAAAGCTGTATAGGCACTGTACAAAGTGAGTCTGCATGATATTAAGGCCACACTCTCAGGCTTTCACAGACAACGTCAGGAGGTTTTCCACTCTTTTACATTGTATCACCATTTATTTGAGTGTGAGCATCCCTAACTCCTAATCCCTTCCATAGCAGAACAGTCCTGAAGCAATGTTTTACGCTGATCTAACACTACGCAGCATTGACCGTCCAGAGTACCGCGTCGTCTTCTAAGGATGAAGTAGGTCATCCAACAAGTGATATGACGTGCCAGAGGAAGTGAGATGCTCATACTGCTGTGCTTTATTGCATGCTTTCTAGATACATTTTATAGGACATGCGGGGCTGGCGTCACAGCCAAATGCCGCCACATTTCCTTCCCCGCGGCGCGTGAGGAAAGGACGCAGGGCCTCAGCTACAATAGTTGTGCTTTGTGTTTACAACAATGGAAAGCATTGTTCACCAGTGCACCACTGTTCTCAATGTATTTTACGCCCTGTATGGAGTAAGCTTGCTCTCTGGGTTCATCGTGACCCACTAGCTACCAGGGGGGGGGGGGGGGGGCAGAAATTGCGCGAAGGCCTGACATATGCCGGTCTGAAACTAACGACTTCCTGAAATGAGCACACTGTCAACTCAACCCACCACACCCTTCAATAAATTTCTCGCGACGCTGAAGGGCCACGATGAATTAATAAATCAAGCGACGTGTCAGATGCAACCGCATATTATGCATTTAAATGGTCGGTGACACCAAATAAGACGGCGCCGGCCTGAACCGCGCCGGGTGAGGTCGGGCCTCTGAGGAATGGCTTCAAAATCGACGCATGGTAGTTTATTTTCAGTAGCTAAACACGCAGCATGTTTACACAGCGGGTGAAAGTTTAAAATATCTTTGTTTCGTGGGTCACGAATGATGGCATATTTGGCGGGGATTTCGAATTTGGCGTTTGGGTGCTGATAGCATACGTGGTCATAGAACAAGCGTTACGAAGGAGCTCATCACATGTATTTTTTTCCTGTGCCTCCTATCCCTATATGATGTCAATTATATAACACCTGATTAGGTCAGATCGCTCGAGGTCGAGGTTAAAATTTCCAATAGACTCGTTCTGACCAGTCTTACCTCGCTGACTGGTTTGACACTTGAAAGACCACTTCCACTGATGTTTGATGCCTGCGACCATGAACTCTTAACGTAGCTATCCAATATTACTGTCTGTTTGGCTCTGTTGCGCTTAGTGTTCGAGATAATACAGGAGGCCTGCGAGTCCCCACCTCCCTGAGAAGTTAAAAAGCCGCTGATCCGGCGACGCCAGTCTTAACAACTGGTCTTGTCGAAACAACAGCTGTTTTTAAGGCGACTGGTTTGAGTCAGTCAAAATACCGTCTGTTGGGTAACCGGTGCCCGCTCCTGCCTAGCAGACCGGTCCGGCGAGAGCTCCTGAGAGCATACCGCAATACACTACCGCCATTGTGTAACCAGCAGTTGCAAGGGCCTCAACTAGTACTTCACCGAAAGTCTGCCTGCGTATTAGAAAGAGGCACAGACGCACGTAAAGGCAAGCTATCGTTACAATCAGTCTATCTAGCTTCCAATGCGTGGTTTCGGCCTCCTTCTCACCATTCCTTACGTTTTCCGCTCGTCAACAAGTAATGCTGAAAGTCGCCGGAGCGGCGCTGTACTTGATAGCGCCAGACCACAGTGAAAACCGCCCCCGTGGCCGCTGTCCTACTTGCGCCGACACAGTGGTAACCACTCTGAATTCCGCCTTGAGATTTTGTATGTCCTATCATTCTTGTTTTTATCGCCACTTTTGGCCTGGAGGTGCCCCAACACCCTCTGGATTTAGTGTTAGCAGATATTTTTGTGCATCTCTGAAATTGTGGAATGAGCATCCCTATTTGCTCACCATTGGTGACGGTTAGACAAACCGAGGAACATCAGACATCGACCGCACCTGCAGTGGTCCCATGAGCACGATGATGCGGACTCCTTGCTCCCAGACCAGTCGCCAGAGGGCATCTCTGGTGGCCGCCACGGGACGTTGCATCACGATAAACGCCCGCACCCGCTGGTACCCATCCACGAAGTACGCTTCTGGGTGGGCCTTGCCGCGGTACAGCCGCGAGGTGATGGGAACCCGAGTCAGGTGGTCTGCAAGAGCCGCGCAGCGTATGACGTGGCTGGACACGCACGAGTAATTGTGACATAAGAAAGGGCTTCGTTGCTCCATCGTGACTTGGGATGTAGCTTGAATACAAAGAAGATGGTTTTGTTCAAATTTGAAGCAAAATATTGGAATACAAGAAACGAGCGGCATCCTCTGTGCCTTTCACTGACGGCGACGCCCACATAAAAAACATGGCGTTCATACTTCGCGAAAATTAAACGCAGATCAGCCTTTTCCCCCGGCCTTCAAGTGGGCCATGCGTCAAAAACAAAAGGCAAGGTAAGAGGCAAAACAAAATTTGGCTCCTGCGGGAGTTCACTCACAGTCGGTGGCCGCTGCTGCGGCGGCCTTCACGTCAGCCCTGCCGGCCGGTACGTCCGCTTCGGTCTCGTCTCGGCCGACGTGCAGCCGACCCCAGTCGCGTCGGAAGCCAGCCTCGCCGTCAACGTGCAGCTCGTGCACGGCCTGCGCAAACACGTGCGACGGCACGGACTCGTGTGGCGCGGCCGACCAGCCGCCTGGCGCGCTGTCCGCCGCCGCCGGCTTCCCCGGCGCCGGCGGCGTCCACCGTTTCCGCCGCCGCCTGCGTCGGCAGAGAGTGGCACGGATGAGAGACGCCACGTCGGTGAGGCCGCTGCTGGGAGCATTCCACAGTGATATAAAAGGATATTTGCGGGAATTTAATGAAAGTTGGTGTGGCCGTTGGGACACCTGACTCGCCGCATTTTCCAGCTGTGCTCACGGATGTCAGGGACGTCAGGTGCGTCAGGGGCAACGGGCGTGACAAACACGTCAGTGACGCTCACTGGCGATGTCGCGCACCGCGAGCGGCCTCCGGCGAAGGCGGCGCGCACCGATGGGGCAAAGTAGGGCGGGGGGAGGACAAAGGAGACCAATCGAATGGAGAGGAGAGAGGGAGTAAGGGAGAGGAGAGGGAGGAGAGAGAGAGAGAGAGAGAGAGCGGAGAGAGAGAGATAGAGAGAGGAGGAGAAGAGTGAAGAAAGTGGATAAAGAGAAAGAAGTGGGCGCGCAGAGGCATACTGTTGACGTCGACGGGTTTTGACCACGTGCGTGTCGTTCCCGCGCATCCGCAAGGCGTCAATGCAGTCGGGCACGACTCGATTGGGGTGAAATACTGAACTCCTACCGCCGAATGAGTGGTGGCTGTAGGTAAGGGCATGCCAAATAAATTACAAATGTTAAATATAACTACGCGTAAGCGAATTGGCTATCACCCAATCCCTACTTGCAAAGGCAGATAATGACACCAAATGTAAAGATGAGCAGTCGCCACATTGGGCCGTTACATAAAATCATCGAAATTTTGAACGGTTCACAACCATGATATGATATACACAGTACAGAAGCAACGAAGCAGTAGTCCTGGGGGCCAACTCGCATGGCTCTTTCTTCGAACGTCGACAGGAACGATTCTATTAACTGGCACGATCCAATATCCCGACGTCTTTGCTAGTCATTGTCAGGCTTATAACAGGGATGTAATATGGCATAAATCAATTTGGGGCTGAGTTGGGGTAGCATATATGGACAGGCCACCTCACCGACTTGATTTCCCCTTGGACTTGAGCTACTACGTTTTTAATGTTGAGGGTGTTGACCTCGTACAAGGAAAGGGCTTAGCCTTGCCGTGCTGAAGTTCTTTCAGCGGAAAAGATAGCTTGGTATTGGTCTACACTATACAGCTTTCACGCCCCCCCCCCCAAGCTCTGGTTGTGTTCTGCGTACTAGTGTTCGGCTTCAGCAGTCGGGTGATGCGCGGCTTCGTTCGCTGCAGCTGATCCAGATCAAAACTGATCCAGTTCAACACTCGTTCACTGCAGCTGATCCAGATCAAAACTGATCCAGTTCAACACTCCGTTCACTGCAGCTGATCCAGATCAAAACTGATCCAGTTCAGCACTCCGTCTACTGCAGCTAATCCGGAGAGAAACTGATCCAATTCAGCGCTCCGTCACTGCAGCTGATCCAGAGCAAAACTGATCCAGTTCAGCACTCCGTTCACTGCAGCTGGTCCAGAGCAAACCTGATTCAGTTCAGAAGAAAACACAGGTCCCCAGGCTCGGTGGTACCCAGGCGTCAGGCGTGAAGGCCGACCTGATCAGGCCAGTTTCCTATGAATCGTATATAAATACCCAAACATCATACACGTTTCAGACGAGACTGACGTCCGGACGGTCCGGTCAGCTCCCACGCACTGCGCTCGAGACTGCCGAACCGAGCCAGCCGTCTCACCGACTCGACCGCGCACCGCCGCCGCCCGCCGCTCCCTGACACTGCTCACCGTCGGTGAGCGAGCATTTCACCGACGGGCGTCACGAGCCGCGGCCAGGCACGCGATCGAGCCTGTCGTGTCACGTGACCGTCTGACCAGACGTGACCTGGTGTGTCACGCGATCCGCAAGCAACGCCAATTTTGACGTAATGTTCGGGGTCGGTGAGAGTCCCTTGGACCGCCGGCGAGAAGCTCAATATCGCAGAGGAGAGACTCTGAGAACCGTCGGTGAGAGACCATCAGGGCCGCTGGCGAGAGGCCCTCAGATTCACCGGCGAGAGACCCTCAGCACCGTTGGCGAGAGGCCCTTGGGTTCAGCGGTGAGAGGCCTTCAGGACTGCCAGCAAGAAGCCCTCAGGTCCGCCGGTGAGGGGCCCTCAGGTCTGTCGGCGAAAGCCCCTTAGGCCCGCCGGTGAGAGGGCCTCAGGACCACCGGCGATATGAAGGGTTTACGGTGGACGTAGTAGCTGGGCCACCGACGCCGATATAGTTCAGGTGGGCGCGCCTCGGGGAGCCAAGCGGAGCAGAGGAGGGCTCAGCTGATCTGGCAGCGCAGCCGCACAGGCTGGAGCAGCACAGCTGTTCGGAGCGGGTGTGGCGCGGCTCGACTCGAGCACGGTTCGACATATTATCAGACTCTGAGACAGCATTGATGCTCTTAGCGTTAGGTTTGACAGCTTTGCTTGGGCTTGCCAGAGAGGCCAGGAGCCTCCGGCATCGCAGGACAGGACTCTGGGAAGTTTTAATTTTATTTATAACCAGCGCTTAGCTATAGCATATCATCATGTCAAGCTCTCACGAATGGAGATGACTTTATTTCGTCAGGTATCGGCACATTCCTGACATGAGCTGAATGTTCCATAGCATGTGAGGGCAGGCCGGTCCAGCCCTTCCCTAAATCCACGCTCATGGCTTGCCGTATCAAACATGGTATCATGGTGGCATGTGCGAGTGTCATGGAAAGAGCTGCTGTCACAAATGTCACGTGAAATATTCGAAAATATCAGTGCGAATTGCTATCGCAATTTCTTTTAAAAATTGTAATAACACGGTGCACTTTAATTAATCTGAAAAGACCACGCGGTCTGGACTCTTACAAACCTGCGGCCGCAGCCCACCCAACCCAAACCGGATGGATATCGTGCAGGACTTCAGGCGTGCGTCGAGAAGATGCAAGGGTTTTAAGCAGAGGTGGGACTTACGTGTATCTGTACCAGTTTGTTGACGCCGGGAAGCCATTAAGGCGCTGCCAATCTTTTTTCCTCTAATTAGGCCTGAGTGGATGGATTGCTTCTTTTCGTCAACAATCTTGACGAATTTTTTCACTAGATTTTGTTGGCCAAATTGAATTAGCTGTGACCTTTTTGTTGAGCCATTGCTTTCATCCGCTATCGCAATGATCACTACGTGTGGTGCTAATATATGCGGTGTGGTATTTAGAAAACCACGTGAGAACTGACGTGACTGGCGTGTTTGAAGTGTTCATTCATGCCATACCTATGTCGGAACAGACGTATGGGACACCTGCAACACATCCAGACAGAAAACAGCTTTGACACCTGTCGTTGGTCCAGACTGGTTGGTAGGACCACCTCATGTCACCGAGATGAGCATTCCCGGAGCCGAACAAAGGGCTTTGGATCGTCGGACAAGAACAATGCGCCAGGCACGGAGTGCAGAGCTGAGCTGTCACTGATTGCCGCCCGCGTCAGAAGCGGCTATTCCAGTTTGCTGTCAAACGTGTGGAGGCTGCCTGCCAGATGTGTCAGAGTGATCCACCTTAAAGCTAGGTTCGCAATAACTGTCAAACCAAGCCAGCAATAAAACTGAGGAGCTGATCCGCGCTGTAACCTTTACCTGTGTTGAGAACGACTGAGGCAACAAGAGTTAACGGAACAACACAAGTAAAAACTAATGTAAAAACATAGTTTTCATTCAAGACATTGAGTGTATAGATGGGGTTATCACAGCAAATGAGGCATTAGAAAAATGCGGCTCCTAAATGATGGGGCGAGCATGCAGTTTTCTGTCAGTAAGTACGAGCCCAAGGAGCACCAAATGGTCAGTTTGATGTTTGAGAAAGCACAAATCTACGC